GCTCGACAGCGCGGGTGAACGAGTCTTGGTGAGTTGCCCGATAGACATCGCCAGCGCTGACATCCGCGAACCGCAGCCACGAAAAGGCTTCGGCATCCTTGGCGCTCTCGCGGACGTTTTCCGACGTCCAAATGTTGAAGAGATGCTGCAGGCTCTTGTTCCGCCAGCCGGCCTTTTGGTTGTCTCTGCCAGCCTTGTTGAGGCGACCGCCCTCTTGCCAGACCAGCCGCGGGAGGTCATACTCAATCATGTTGCGAGTCGAGTAGCCAACGTCGACATTGTTGCCTTCGCGGATGAATGAAGCCGTCTCCGCAAAGTAGCCAAACGCAAAGGGTGACGTCGTGTCGGCACGCTCAAACAGGTCGGGGTGGTTGCAAACCTTGCGGAATTGCATGACGAGGTTCATCAGTGTGCCCGAGTCATTGTCGTCGCCTGTTGTTGCCTTCTCGATGAGGTCCATGATGCTGATCTGGTTCCGGAGGTTGGCGTAGATGGCTCGCTGTCGGTAGGTGAGATCGCAGAAGATGTCTTTCTCAATCTTGTCACCCAATTCCTTCTGCACGTGCTTCTTGACGCGACGCAACATGAACGGTTTCAGAATCATGTGCAGACGCTTGAGCTGGTCCTCGTTGAGCTTCGTGTTACTCTGCGCGTGCGATTCAATGTCCTTGGAGAACCATTCGCTGAACTCATCGTGCGAGTCGAACAGCGACGGCATGATGAAATGGAGCAGTGCCCACAGTTCCTGCATGTTGTTCTGGATGGGTGTACCGGTAAGCAGAAGTCGGTTGCGGCAGTGGAAGCCGAGGAGACTCTTCCAACGAGAACTCTGCGAGCTCTTGATGGCCTGCGCCTCGTCGAGAATCATGTACTGCCACTTCATCTTCTGGAAGTAGGCGACATCGGAGACGACGAGCTGGTACGAGGTCACGCAGACGTGGAAGGCGGCTTCCTTCTTGTACGTGACGTGCTTGCGGTCCCAGAACTTGCGGAGCACCTTTCGGTCGCCGGCAGAGCCCCAGTACGGCAGAATCTTGAATTCGGGAACGAACTTGCGAATTTCCTGCTCCCAGTTGTGCAGGGTGGAGGCTGGTGCAACAACAAGGAAGGGGCCCCAGATGTCGTACTTCTCGGCGAGGTAGGCCATGACCGAGATGGACTGCACAGTCTTGCCGAGACCCATCTCGTCGGCGAGAATGCCGTTGATGCCTTGCTCGTAGAGGTTGGCCAACCAGTTGAGACCCTTGAGCTGGTATTCTTTGAGCTGTGCATTGATGAGTTTGGGCTGGCCGATCTCGACGTCGCCGAGCCCGTGGGTTCTGGAAGTTCATCTCGCCCTCCTCGTCCATGTCCATGTCGCCGCC